GAAATGATATTTTATCCAGGTGTAAATTATCCCACAGAGAAAAGGAAAACAAGCAAGTTCAGAAATCCCCACTTTATGGCAAATGTCAGCACTACGGATGTAACTACACAGGGGAGAAACATGCTTAGCCCTGGGATACACAGCAACACAAAATTCCAGCCACAATCTGCTTCTTCACAAAGACAGTGTCCTAGGACATCTCCGCTTTTGCATTCATGAGAATGTGGCCCAGGGAGTCAGGTGGTGCTATCCGGAGCACTGCTTTCATGTGATTTTCCGTCTACTTGGCTCTGTGATTGCTACATGAAACCTGAGGTCAGAGGGGAAATGAAACAGCGTTAGGAGACAGAAGTGTTATCATAAAGGAAAACCCACCCCGTAAGGACCTATGCTGCTTACACTGAAATTTCTTGAGGGAAGCTGTTTCCTCAGTCTCAAATACCTTAGAGGCTGTTGGTGGACCTCCATGCAGGACCACCGCCCTTAATGACCCTGCTCAGGTGTCCTGTCCTGTGCACCAGAAAGTGAAACTAATTCTAAGAAAGAAAATAACACCTCCTCTTTCACAGCCTTAGGTGGATGTGCTTCAAATTATGGCAGACACAAATGTCCCCCAAATAAAGGCTAACCTCACCAAATTGCTCCTATAATTCCACCACCTGCATGCAGTACCCCATAATGAAAAAAGCAGACCTATCCATGCTAGAGCACTCTCAAAGAACATGCACACAGGAATTCAATGGGGAAACTTTAAGCCATCATTTGAATGCTTGCAGTGTTTCTCTATCATTTGCACCCTGCTCCCCTTAGCGGACATTCATACCACACTACAGTTGCTTATTTCTCACCTTAGGCCACTTGCCAAAGCCTACAACCCAGTGTCCCATTCATTCAGATTCTGTCTATTTGACCAAACTTTTCACATGGAGATTGCACTGTATGCAGAGAAATTAGATTGTGAGCTTCTAGGCTCTCCCTGCCCTTAAAGTAATTACAAAGAAGGGCAAGCCAGATAAAGAATCTTCCACACCGAATTCCTTATCACCCTTGCCTGAAATAGGCATCCACTCCTTGCCAGGTGAGTCTTCCTCTGAGCATTCAGTCTCTTTTCCCAGTATCTATGAATTTAGGCTGGGGAAGAACTCAGTGGCAGAGCCCTGGGCTCTGATCTGCGAGGTCCTGGGTTCTAGGCTCAGCATCAAAAACAAAACCAGAAGAGAACATGACACAGCCAAAGAAAGGACATGCATCATTACCGAAAACTTTAGGCCATGTTGGAAATCATTTCCCACAAGCGAATGGTCTTTTAACCTTGCTTTTCCCTGCACCCACTTGCAGACTTTCATGGTCAGCCTGAGCCCCAGCGGGATGCGCACAGCAGTGCACCCTGAAGTCCTCCAGACCTCCAGTGAGAGGATCCATACTTAGTGAATGAAGGCATGCAGACATTGCTCATTTAACACCCGAGATCTTTTCCTGAGACTAAGTTTTTCAATGAACTGGTTGCTAAGTGCCTAATTTGATAGCCCATGTACAGTAAAATTTTCAGAGGAAAGGAAGCTCCAATGGGAAGCCTTTGATTGTATGCACATATTTGTTTCTCAATAAAATTGATAAAAATGTTCATGCACTAATGTATAGCGGAACACATCATTACAGAAATGCACAGTACAATCAGCAAACACAACAGTCTGCAGTGCAGGGGTACCATACGGTAGAATAAATGTGAAAACCTGTTACCAAAATATTGAAAACTGTACCAAAAGAAGAGAATTCAGGCCAGGGAGATAGCGTAGGGGACAAAAGCACCTGCTTAGGCAAAGGAAGGTCCTTGGTTCCATCCTGGCACCACATGCCATGCCAGGCCCACCCGTGGGTTAATCTGAGCCAGAAGCAGAGTCTAGGCATAGTGGTGCAAACTAGTAAACCCACCTCTGGGGAGGCTGAAAACAGGAAACTCACCGTGAGTCTGAGCTGCATAGGGAGACCCTGTAACAACAAAATACATTAAAATGAAAGAAGAGACTTCATAAGTCCAAAAATAGCACCTCATTCCCAAGTGCAGTCATTTAACAGGTAGGTCATTAAATAACGAATATCCATACACACATCTATGCACTAAGGCTGTGTATAATTACATCTCTCCATTTCATATCCTGGATATATATTTCATTGTTCACACATAATAAGGTAGTGGTTGAGGTTTTGTTGTCCCTCATGAAAGCACGTTGCCTCTCAAAATGAAAAGACACCACAAGACCACTGAGATCCATTCAATTTTCTCTCTTCCTAAGGCCAATCCTTCTTGTCACAGTACGAAAGGAGAAGAAACAAGACCAGGTCCACAGTGCCAGGACCCAGTGCTGCCCTGAGGCAGGATGGAGAGCAACTGCACTGTCCTCTGGCTTGTGTGGGATTCACTGACCTGCACTCTGGACTCAGGCACATTCAGGTCTCTTGCAAGCTTCCATCTGTGGAGAGAAAACCGCAGATGCTCCACGGTGAGTGACCTGGATGGAGGACGCAGAGCTCCAGGACTGGAGTAGTACATGCACATTCTGTGCAGGGCTGGGACCTGCACTCAGCGCCCCAGGGCCCACGGATCCTTCTCTGTTTCCCTAGGAATATGGCTCCCATCAGCCACGGTCTGACCTCTGCCCAGTACCTAAGCTCACATGGAGGAGGTATTTGGATGCATTATTTTGAGAACATAAAATGAATGCAGCATTCTGTGATAAAAATAGTACTGTTTTATTTTACCAAACAGGGATAAGGGCCTGTTGGCAAGTGCAAGGTCCTGAGTTTGATCCCCGTTCCTCCCCACAGAAAATTAAATAGAAATTTCTAAAGAAGTTTATAGAAGAATAACAATAGTTACTGCGTTGCTTATTCTTATCTTCAATCTTTTTTTTTGACCTTGCAAGATATGGCCAAAATAGATCTCCAAATGACATTGACACAAGTTCTTCCCAACGACCTGATAGAAAGTCATAGTATAACTACCTAGGAGACTTCTCAGTTCCCTTCCTTCCTCCCCCCTTTCCCACTCCCTATATGCTCTTTTCTTTTGATCAAAAGCCTATAGCAAAATGCATCTGATGCTACAGACTCAGAATGCAAGGAAATTTATTTGAAACAGAATCCATGAATTCAAGAATTACAGAAGCAAGCCCCATGTCAAATGTAAACATCTCTGTCAGTCAGCAGACCCATCTCTGTCAGTCAGCAGACCCAATCATGGCAGTCAAAATAAACCTACAGAATGGGAGAACAGATTTGCAAAGTACATGTGACAGCCACATAGAAACACCTATCTGAAGTCAGTAAGCCGAGCTCTGCAGCCAGCCTTAGGCAGCAGAAAGGACTCAGTGAGACATTTCTGTAAGAAGGCACAGAGTTGACCAGGAAGCTGGAGAAAACACTGCAGACGACCACCCACTAATGCACATCCTGATGACAGGGATATCAAGCATGCCCGTGTCTAAACCCCTGTGACACTCTGGGAAATAACAAGCCTGCTGAGCACAAGGAAAATCTGGAACAATCGATCACCCTGACATAAAGTGACAATTTACTGAGCCTCTCTTGAAAACAGTCTGCTGGGCCTCAAAGCATAAACATGACATTTTATGTTCCAATGATGCTGCCTGTGAGGATGTCTCCTGCACACTGAAACCCTGCATATTCCCAGCTATGTGTCAGGCATGTTCACAGCAGCAACCTCTCCACAGATGGAAGAGCCACAAGGGCTCTCTGTGCAAGGGAAAATCAATGGTCCTTAAAAAGTAAGGAACTTCTGACCCCTGCTGCAGCATGGATGCCCTGGGAGGATGCCTGAAGCCCCTAAGCCAGGCACAACAACACTAACTGGCTAACATGCCACCTAGATCTGCTTCCCATAAACTTCCCTCTCAGAGTATAAACGGAGTCCTGTGTGCTGAGAACTGAGGCCTTGAGGGACATGGGAGGTGTTTCATGAGGGGTTGATTTTGTAAGATGTCATCCGCTCTGGAGATCTGACGGATAGCCTGGTGAACATTGGTAGCACTGTTTACAGCTCTGCTCTTACATGAAAATACACAATGCCACTGACACCTGCCTTCAAATTCTGGCAGCAAAGTTTACTGGGTGCATCTGGCACCACAAGGCAAACAGAACCAAGCTGCAGACAGCAACGCATTCATGCACTGGATTCCCAAAATACCACAGAAATGTTCAGAGTTTGCCCCACACACAGAGCCATCCCACCAAGTGCAAAGTCAAGCAGGCGAAGACCCCGAGTGATTTCTGGTCAAGATGGGAAATCAGGATGCAGGAGAGCGAGAAAGCCGCTTGCAAACACGGCCACACCCTGCTAATGCCTGTGTGCACCCCGGGGCAGAAGCTCACCTCCTAAGTACATCCAGGTACTGAGTTGCTTGGATAACACTTTCCATTTCCTGCACCTGAGACTGTACGAAGCTAAACTGCGTTGGTCGCTGCCTGGGCCAGCCTTGCTTTCGGCCCCTGGGATCTGCAGGATCCAGCTGGGCCCGAGACACGTGCTCAGGTTCCTGGTCAACGTGATCCTCCTCGCGGTGGTCAGTGGCAGTTCCCTCGCTCACGTTCAGCCTTATGTTCAGGATTTTGCTGCTGTCCTCCTGCGGGATGTCCTCAGACTGACTGTCTGCCCCGATGCCAGGAGTTCCCTCACTGAAGAGGAGAACCTCAGCTGCTGTGGGGTCACCCTGTGCAGGACATGCACTACCTTCCAGTTGCCAGAGCTTCAAGCCCAACGACAGCAGACTATGGTGGTCGCGCTTACCTTCCATGGCTGCCTGGTACCAAAATCAGGCGCTTGCTCTTTATAAAATTTTGCGCAAGCACGGTGTCTCTGGAAACTGCCTGGCGGGGGCGTGTATGAGGGGAGAGCCAGGGGTTATGATTGGTTATAACAATGCTGAACCCTATTTGGCCGTCTTGCATCCACAGGAATTCTCCTGACCTCTACTATTGGCTCTCTGCTTACACGCAGGCTGTCACATGGCGGGTTACTGTGTAGCAACCCGGATGGGCCCTGGCGGGAAAAGGAGCCCAGGGCTGAGAGAAAAAAGTTCCTGATTCTGGATATGCACAGCATGAGAGCATATAGTGCCCTTCACTTCCTGACCGCACTCCGTGGATCGCAGCGATGACTGAGGGAGGGGTTGCGTTGGCGTGCAAACTGTTTTGGAAGTGGATGGGAAAGGCGGAGAACTCACGCTGAGCCTGCCTCACCCGTGGGCAGGCTTGCAGGGAGTCAAACCCACCCCACACTTCCTATGAGCATTTGCATCTTATAATGTGTTCATACCTTGGCCTAACTACCTCCTACCTGAGGTGTCCCATGTACCTGAGTTATGAGGATGGGACTTGCCCTGCTACTAGAGCACTGGGAACACTGTAATCCCCAGAGATTCTGACCCTGAGCCAGAAGGACCTACGACAGTGTTAATGACAGCCTGCCTTGGGCACGCACACCCAAGAGAAAGGTGGAGAAGCACCAGGTTTTCATATTCACTCTCCAGCCTGAGATGATCAGAAATGGCACAGACCATGTCTGTAAATAACACTGGGTGCCTTCAGATTGCCTCTCTTGTCTGTGTTGGTGTCGTTTACAGAGAATTCCATCATGCATTGTCTCTCTTCTCTCTGCTTGTGTGATTAGCTCCAAAAGCCGTGCATCCCTGAAAGACAAGGTGATGGCAAGGGGGACACTTCTGGGGAAAGACTGTGGGCTCTTCAAGGAGAGAGAGGAAGCCCACATCCTCACACTAAGTGCAGACTCTGATAGCTCCTGCAAGGTGGATGGTTGGTGCTGCTCTCAGCAAGAGCGTACAGGGACACTAAAGGTTGGAAAGCATGCCGGCCATTTGTGATTAGCCCATGCCACAGCAGGGCCCATGTGGACCAGGTCTTTGGCCACTGTGACACCAGCTGGGGCAACAGTGAGGGAGGAATGAGTAAGAACATTATTGCCAGCTGGGCGATGCAGCTGGGGATGCACCAGCTCTCATCCTGGGTCCCTGACACCTGCTATGTCAAGCAGTCTGCCAGTTACTGCCAGTAGCACTTCCTGTGGCCTCCACTGGGTGACACAGCCACTGAAAGAAGGCTGGGCCTGCTGAGCCAGGGTAGTGGGCTTTGTGGAGACCCCTGAATGCTGTGATCTTTACAAGTACAACACAAACCATGTAATGGGGCAGGTGAGCCCAGAGCATGCTTCCCTACACAGGCGGCCCTTTGATCCCATTGCCTCCATTGCCTAGATACAGCAGAGACTGGTATTTTCCTTCTGAGACTTTAGAAGGCTGCAAGCTCCATCCTGCACCCAGTAGGCTGAAAGCCCTCTTTCATTCTGACTTTTAAGTTTGAGATAGGCTCTTACTGTGTTGTCTGAAATGAACTTGAATTCTCCAGGTTGTACAGGCTGGACTCAAACTCAGTATCCTCCTACCTCAGCCTCCCACACACTCCAGTTCCAAGTATCAGGCCCTGTCTGCAGCATACTCTAAACCTTTTGATCTAGGGTTACACTTATTAATAGGGACAGCAATAGAAAACAGTAACACTTCATTTCTTCAAATTCCTGTTCTGGTAATTTTTCTGGATGCCCTCCATGATCCATCATGCAAAACCGTACCCATTGCAGCCTTCAGCAAGAGTGGGATCATTCCTTCTAGGCAGAGCTCTTACAAGGGAGCAGCCCCACTTTATACCTTTCAGATTCCAGTGAGGGTACAGATGCTCCCTTGACCAAATACGGAAAGCCCTCTGAGCTCCATTGCAACTGGGCCGGGATGTGTGGTTTTCTGACTCTGTGACTGCAGGGTCCCATTTTTCTACAGCTCACTCTCAGTGTGTTCATCCATGGGCATCCCTGATCACTATCAATGCCTGATGGGTCGCTCTTCATTTTCCATCCCCAGGGGAGCTCTGCTCATGCTGCTCCAGCTAGGCCAGGGATCCTATGGGGCTGGTTTACCTGAGTGCTCCATGAACACAGATATCTCTCTTAATAATTTTTATGCCCTGAGCTTCACCCTGTTTCTGAGCTGCGAGTACCCACCCATCCATACTGCGTACAGGGGAGCTCAGTCTCCAACTCAGTGTATGCACTCATTGCTCTGCTCCCTACAAACATCACCCCCTCCCATGTAGCTGCACAGACCCCAGAATCCCATGGTGCCTGGATCAAAGAGGAGGCTGTGCCAAAGCTCTGCTCAGTCCTCAGGGCAGCCCTATAGCTGTGTTCCTTGCCTCTGACTGTGCCAAACGTTTTCCCCTTGAATACAGTCTTCCTTGTCATCTTTCACACTGGCAGTTTTGTGTTTAAATCAACTGGTGACAGAGTATGTGTGAGAACATCCACCATGCTCACCAGACCACTCCAGCCCAAGCCCAGCCTGGCATGTGTGTGAGACCTTCCACTGAGCTCTCTGGATCCTCTCCAGCCCAAACCCAGGCCAGGTGTCTGTGTGTGAGGGACCATCTATACACTCTCAGGAATCTCTACCATCAGACACGCCTGGTGTGAAACTCTGCAACTGAAGTCCCTGCAGAGAGGGTAGGGGCCAGAACCACCCAGCTAATCCAGAATGTCTTGCCAGAGGGTCACAGTGGGTTTACTTCCAAGGGCTGCAGCAGGAAGAAGCTGAGCACAGCAGCCAGACCCAAGCCAGGCACATATGGACGAGTTCAATCTTGGTAGATCTGGAACCAGGATTTAAAGTTCAGAATATCCATGGTTGTTGGAAAATACCACTTGCATGTTATGTCTAAGGCATTTGATACTCAGGCATATAGTGATGCTAAGCTCAACTGCCTCTGTTATAAGGTAATAATATTATTAAGCTTCTCTTCTGGATGTTTAACAACTAAAGTTTGCAGGCCAAAAGTCAGAGAAAAAGAGGGGCTACAAGGATCGCCAATATTTTGGCCCTAGCCCTTCAAGGTCAGTGAGGACTCAGGATATAAGAGAACCTGTACTGTAATATCCTGTAACACAGTGATGTCTCAAATTTTCTTTTCAAGTAGATTATGGTGATTGAGGATGCATAGTGGGCCTAATGAGAGTCACATGGAGAGAAAACATTCTCTCAGGCTCTCACAGAGAGCAAATTGGTCAAGCAATGGCTGTGACTCATCCACATGGCTGACACTGACAAAGGATCTACAAGGTGCTCTACATATTCAGGATAAATCTTGAGAGGATTTCACTGGCCTTGTCAGATATAAAAGTTACATTTTTAGTTTTATAGATCTTCTTTTAACTTCCTTTAACTGGTCTTAACTCTCCAGCAGAAAAGTATAACCATGAGGTATAAAAAGTAATGCCATATTATTATGCTGAGCTGTAAAAGGCCCAAGTCAACAACTTCTGACAATTGCCAGTTCTGCTGATAACCCACTACTTTTACGGACTATTGGACTATACTGAGTTATTTTGCTGAGTTCAAGTACCTACTGTATTTGAACTGACATCAAGTAAGAAAAGATCCTTTAAAGACATCTCCAAATACATCTTCTCTAACAGCAACAGAACACTCATCTCTGACAATACAAAACAAAAAAGGGGAATATAAATAAAGGACCATTTTGTAGTGAAAAATTATACATATATACAAAATAGTTAGGATAGATATACGGCTACTTTCTTTTAGTTCAATGAGAAGAAAGATTTATACTACTATTGTTTAGACAAGAGATCATGTCTGCATCTTGTATTCTGAATCACTTCTAAGAGGACAACAATATGCAATGTATTAATTGTTGTAACTGTCCTACCAACCTGTTTTGAAACTGTCTCAGGGCTGGGCAAATAGCTCAGGAGATTAAAGCACCTGCAAGCAGGCGCAGGGGCTGGGGGTTCAATCCCAGGCCTGCCATATCAGCCTCGGCCCTGAGTCATGCTGAGACGGTGATTGAGACTGGATGTGATGGCACATACCTGTAATCCAAGCTCTTGGGAAGCTGGAACCAGGTGGAGCACTATGAGTCCGATCTAGTAGTAACAGCCTGAACACCCTATAGACCCTACCCTAAAATAAAAAAAAAGAAAAAAGAAACTGTCTCATTCCAATTTCTTTCTCTAAAGTTAAGAAAAACTTAAGAAAAAGAAACAATAGCAGGTAATGCACCCTAACTACCCAGTTAGAGGTGATAGCAGTATTAAGGCTGGCAAGTAATAGGAAAGGAAGTAAACTCCTGGTGCAGAAAAATCATCTAAACTATGGCCTGAATCTTGGCTCACAGTTTAAAGTAATGTCTTTATAAATACTTTTGGAGAAAAGTATCTCAAGATGTAGAATCCTTGGTTTTGGTCATTTCGTAGAAGTAAATCTATTTGACTTTCAAAAATTTTTTTGATCCAGTCCTAGTACGGGCCCCAGTGAGTGTGTGGGAGAGCTTCCTGCTACCCTGTGCTGGCAGG